AACTTGAAAAAGATTTGGAATTGAGCTATGAAATGATTTAGTTCAATAAATATTTTTTAATCGAATTTATTTCCTCGCAGTCTGCAATATTGTAGCTGAATCTCTTCTCGTACATGGCAGTTTTCGTTTCAGTAGTCAATTTTGCATTGAAATACGATATCTTCTACACAACAAAGACATCTATTTTCAATAAATTCGGGGAATGTTTATTTTAAAATGGTCTTTTTCATATTTAGTCAATTTGCTGATGTGGTTATTTTTCTTAACAGAGAATTATTCTTCGATTTAATTTTCGCGGCTAATCGCGGTACCAGAAACTATAAATTAATTTCCATATAAGTGAATGGGGTTCTTCAGAATATTACATAAATCCATGGAAGACTCAATTTCTCTTCACATGGAACACGAAATTCAATGCAGTAAAATAAATTTTGTTACCTACCTTCAAGATGGTCATGCAGCCATAACTGTACGAAATATAAAAACAATTTCACACTTCAAAACGCAGAGCTGATAATTATTCACATTTTAAAGCCCCTGGCCAATGAAATTTTTAAATAATGTTCAATTTAGGATCAAGTATTTTATATAAAATAAATTTTCGGAAAATTAATCACTATTTTACTTTAAACAAATTAGGTCGTTTCGCTTTCCATGTATAATTTCCCTGTATTAGCGATATAACAGAAAATTAAATGTGCATAACGTCGTGTTAGAAATTTAGTGCAGTGAGAAGACTCCAATGAGAACTTTGATCCGAAGCCAAAATTTGAAAATAATTTTCATTGAAAGTCTACGTCAGGTTGCGTTGCAATTTTTCGTAGAACTTTTTCTGCACAACTACAATCTCCTACTGTTTTTTGGGTTTAATAAGTTTAGCAATAAATAAATGCTTGTATATTTATATATTAGGGTAATGAATAATTTTCAAGTTGGCAAACGGTAGGTCTATGTATTTTGAGCCTTATCCTGCTGAAGTACTAGCAGTAAATTTGAAGTGTTCTAGTCTACCTGAAGTAACATACATCGTCCAAAAATGATTAGAAATAGTCATTTATAATACCAGATATAATTAGCAATTAGCAATAATGTCGATATAATCTGTTAATGCGACATCATATGATAAACGCGATCCAACATCAAATCAAAGATCATACTCGGACTTCTTAATTTCAAATCAAAACAAGTCATGCCGGAGGTAAAAATTTGGTGATACCATATAACTAAAATCGGACTGTATTTGTTGGTCGAACACAAATGAAAAAACTTCACAAACTTTTTCTAATAATCTTATCTCGCTTACACTTCTTGCAACCCAAAAAAGATAATAAATTGCGAAGTAAACGAAGTAAGTCATTATAGCCAAATGTAGAGCCCGTTTGTTACACATCACAAAAATCATGCTAAAAATTTCATGATAGCAAAGGATTATTCACAAAATTTGACATGAGGATTGCGAATAATGTAAATCCATTGCATTATTAAAACGTAGAATTGATAATGAATTGATTTACAGTTCACACGCGACAGTTACTCACCTAATTTAGAACGACTAAACCCACACTCCTGGAATTTATAGTCACCGTTCAGTAAAATGAATATATTCTTCTATTTTGGTTTAAATTCGAGTTCAATTGTAACGTTTACATTAGCTGAGTATCGAAATGAGAAACAATTAAACACACACATCTCTCTTTGATCGCATCTGGAATTTATCACATTTGCATATTATTCCTCGAGCTTTGAGGTATATTTTTCGATGCAATTTCACACAATTTATTATGTTGCATTTCGGGATTTGTCTAGAAAACAAGATCATCATCAGAACTTGGGAATTTAATCAAATTTTCTTCATGCCCTGGAGATAACCAAATCGTACTAGCATTCAATCCAACAAAGTTATTCTCATTGCGGTAAAACTTACTATTGAGTGGGGCATGGCCAGGCTAACCATGGCACCATAAATAAATTGTTAAATATAAATAAATAACCATGAATAAATTGTTAAATATAAATAAATAACCATAAATAAATTTTACTCGTGTTCTGCATTTTTCACCCATCGCCTGTTGATCGACTCACTAAGGGTAATTTTGAGTGTAACGTGGTCTGTATAAGTATTTTTCATTTATATTGGGCCGTGTTGTGAAATTGGCCAATTCAAGTTCATTTTTTAACGAATTTTTACTTGATGATAACTATGATGTTGCTATGATGCAACTGGTGCAACTCTCTGCATTTTCTTATTTAAACAGAAATAGGTAACTTCTTCGTACGGAAAATCATGAAAAATTTTTTGGTGCATGGAATGTTTTTGAAGGAACCTTGTCGTACTGAGAGACCGGCTTTTCGTGAATAAATTCACAGTACGAAGCACGAACGAAGCAATTAAAAATACGAAGCACGAGCATTTCAAAAAAACGGCAAGAAGATCATAAAGTTTTGAAATTCTCCTAATCAGTTGCCACTATGCATTGGACAAGTGAGCAGCGTGCGTTTACTGTCGAGACGTACTTTTCTAATAGCCGTTTTGTAGAGTTTTCTCCGTCTGAGACAACATTTTGCAGAGCACATTTCCGTGAGAGATGACATTCTTTGGCTGGCAAAATTCCCCGATTTGGCTGCGTGTGAAATTTTTATAGTGTTATCTTGAATCAATCATTTATAATGACTGTCCAAGGACCCCACCTCATGTGAAGAACAACATACGCCAAGTCATCACCAAAATACACGTCAATATGCTTCAGCGAGTTGAACAGAACTTCAAAAATCGACTAACTGAATGCATTGACAATGGGGCCCGTCCTTGGTTCGATGTGTCTTTATAACTAAATGATACAAAAATGTAGTTAATGTATTTTTCAATAAAATTTATACTGTAATGATATCTTTACTAGTTCTTTTTGTTTTGAGCTCTCAAATCAGGAATCTTCTGCAAATCGCCCTGTATTAGCTTTGGCTTGAAAAAAGGTTTCAAAATAATGTAAACAGCGCAACAAAGCCCGTAATCACGCCTGATTAACATTCCTGTGAAGACCAATATCAAAGGCACAATGCTTGTTGTGCCAAAAATTCCGCAGTTGTTGGCATGTGAAAAGTTTTAATACAAAAAGTGGTTACGAAATCGACGGAGAAAAAAGTCCTAAAGCTAGTGAGAGCTAGTAGAAAATTTAACAGTACCAGTTATTGAACTCGACGCAATATTGCTATAGGAGTGAACTACTTACAATTGATCTCTTACTTTCTCATAGGAAATTAGATATGCGAGTGTGGTTTTACGATTCCTTCACATGTTCAAGCTTTAGATAAGTTATTTCAGACAATAAAAATGGAAGCGGCAATGAACGACTACTCGTGTGTAGTATTAACTGCCATATCCCAACTATGTAGGAAGCATACAAGCCTTCATTTTCATGTTCACTTGTTTTGAAATTGCACTACAACAAAATTTTCCAGAGAAGCCTCGTGTTCTCAGGAATCAGATTAATTTTCAAAATATCCTCATCAACTTTGTGAACAACATTTGCTTAGAAGGAACCTCGCACTTTCACTGAGCAGGAAGTTTTAAAAATAAACCTTATTGATAAGAAAGAGTATAAAGACAAATTATTGTTCTCACTCAAAAGAATGCGTCCAAAAATCTCATTCAAAAATATATTTATTACTTATTCTGTAAATTAAGCAACTATGAAAGCGTTTTAGAGACTAGCCTCATCGTCAGTTGGGGTAATCAGTAAAGTAGTGCAACCTATTGAACGACTAAATTCACATGGTATAGGGACTTGAACCTAAGTTGACAAATAAACTGCGGAGTAAGGTAAAAATCCATCTATTTGCAATTTAGGAAGGTGAAAACTACAGGCAATGTTCCGACAGTTTGTCATTTAAAATGAGTATGAATTCCCATACCCTGAAATCTGAAGCACATCAGGTGTGGCACATAGAATTTGTATATTTTTTATAATGAAACGTTGCACTGTTCTTCGGGGAGGCGCACAGCGATTGCCATGAGAGTACAAGAGAGTTTCCATTATGATAACCCCTGCCCCAGCTATCACATTCACGTTCTCTAGGCATAATGAGCTCACTTGTATCCGTTAAGTAGAGAAGATTGAATGTTCTAACACGTTGGTCTACAAGTAATATTGATGAATAATGTTAAAATGTTTCTTTTTCAGTTGTAAGGATATGATTTATATCCAGTTGAGGTTCTCGCTGGTTCACTAGTACAGTTGTGCGCAGTGTGAAACAACGCTTTTTTGTCCGACGTCCCGTTTCTTCTATATCTAGATTTTATACGAAATCCCGGTCTGAACAACGTGTATAGCGTTAATTTGAACGAAATTACCAACCGATACGGTACGGCACATCTAATTGACTTTGTTAATTTAAATTTAATCCTTTCATAATAAATGTAGTCGTCCAATTGGTTATACTTGTATTATTGAATTTCTTCACCAAACAAAGGATTTATTCTTTGGAAAGTTTCAAGCAAAGGTTATCATGAATTTTCAAACAATTTTCAATTCATAACATTTTTTGGTGAAACTCTATGAAATTTAGATGCTGTGGATCCAGATGATATGACTCATATCAATGTGGCTCAAAAATAGTGGATATAACTAAAACAAACACAGAACGATATTTGAAATTCACAAATAAAAATATTAGCACTAATGACAATTCCACTTAATCAATTTCAATTTTTTACTTTTGTGACACAAGGTAGGTTTAGGTTTAGTTTACATTTTATAAAGTTCGTTAAGGTGAGAATAAAAGCAAAATATTTACTTCAAAATTATCGATTGAAGAGTAGAATTTGGTTTAACTTTGAAATGAGGTATAAGATAAAGATAAATACACAGTTGATAATTGGTGGAAGGAAACTTTAATTCAATATTTACAGATAATTCTACAACGAACCATGAAAACCGAAATAATGAACTCTTTCGTAGCACCTAGCATGGAAAACACAATACTCTTTCGCGCAATATCGTGCCTTACCATACAATGTTGACGGTTTCGACCTCTCTGTCGTTTTCGTCTGTATAATTACTTGAGTCTCCATTGGCAATGCTAGTGACAACTTTTTTGCTGTCGTAAACCAAGACGGTGTTTTGCTTGTCGCAGACCATCTCCATCTCCTTAGCTCGACAGCGTTTAGACGTAAACGCTTTGTATTTCTGAGCGCACCTCTGAGCTGGCCGATTATCCGAGTAGAAATCCAGGCTGCAAATCTTGTCCGCGTTTGACGTCAATTCGTTTAGATCGCGGAGCTGCACCGACTCCTCGGTGTCGGGGGTGAACGACTGCAGGCGGCGTCTATGAGGACCTTCAGCCAGGCTCTGTGTTGGGAAAAGTGGAGAGGTTACCGAGAAGTTTTCAAGAAATGCTAATTGATAATGAATATGTCACTAAAAAAATTGCTTGGATTTTAGTGAACAAAAAAATTTATTCGACGGCAGATCATTTTCATAAAACTCACCAAAGAAAATAAATAGGGTAAGAGGCTAATTAATATCTCTGTTTTATATGACTTCAATTTATATAACAATCTCATATAAAATCATGCTCATTAGCAGGCAATTAGCATGAGCATTAGGAAAAACATTAAAACAATCTATTTCAAGGTCGATTTCAAATGTGATTACCGATGATATTTTATGTGTGCTAAAAATCGATACGTTATACTTCGCAAACTTAGTACAAAACGCGAGCTCAACAAACGGAGACGCTTAGTCATTTCAAGGTCACCAAGTCAATTTAATGCTTGTAAAAATGGAGGTAATAAATAAAAGCTCCAATATCATGAATTTTAGCAAAGCTATTCAATTATGTACAATGAAGGCTTGATATAGGTAAATTTTGACAGGACTTTCAGTGTGATGCCTTTATTTATTAGAGATAATTTTCGCAACCCGATATGCCATGCCTCCACGGCTTTAAAAGACTAATAATTTTCGGAATAAATAAAGCGATTTAACGAGGGTAAGTGGGAACTTTGCCATGCGGGTAATTACGAAACGACAGGCGCACCGTCCTTAATCAAAATAATTGCTTCACATTATTCCCCGCGAGGGAAACTTTATAGAGATTGGAAAAGGATAATTTAATCATAACTTATTAGACCGGGTGGAGAAAATTTAATGAAAATTCCGAGCATCGACCAAATTTCAAGGAGTCATGAGCATCGTTGTTATGAGACAAATAAATAAGGTCAGAATGAAGATTTAAAATTCTAAATTCTACTTGGATGGGAAGAAGAAACAATTACAATACAAATACAAAAGTAGCCACGTAAAATTTCCCTTAGGAAATTGGACTAAAAATAGAGCGTACTCAAAAGAAAGAAGAAAATGTGTTCAATTAAAATTATTCTCAATAAGTCAGCATTTCGATAAAATGGTTTCTTGTATATATTTAATCAAGTTTGTCCAAATTACTTGCTATTAGAAACAACAAAGTTGAGAGCTCGTCTGGAATAGAGCGACTATAGTCGGCTTTTATAGCTATTTTTAATTACTTCTCAGCAATAATCCCTGCGCTGCCAGATTATTATTATTTGATATTTCATTCCACTGCAATTTACCGTAAAATTTTCCCCATTTCCCTCATTAATATATAAATCGTTGAATAAATACGTCTTGTGTCTGCTGATCTACGCTAAGTAGTTTGAACCTCGTACGTAAACGAGTTGCACTACGTCTTCGCTAAACTGACACTGAAGAAAAGTGCTCACTTCCAAGCGGGCGGATGTGCCAGGCCACTTTTAAGGCAGAGTGACTTTCATTTTCCACGTCCGCCACACGACATTTCTTGCGTAGAAAGTTTTTCACAAAGTTTTTTTTTACTTTTAATTCTTTCGGGCGTGAGATGGAAATTTCAGGCTCGTCAGCGACGGCGAGTCTTTCTTCTGCACGATGAGCAATACTGAACTTTGCTCCCGATCCTGAATAACTAAAATTATACTCTCGTCATCAATATTAATTTAATAATTTGGAATACTACAACGTTATTTTTATAAGGTTTTAGTCAGAAATTTATTTGATTTATTGGCAGTTCAGAAACTTCGTTGTCGCATGTTTGATCTATTGGGAAAATGCAACGCCATTTGGAATAATTCATTGTTTATTCCAGGGGGTAGAATTATATACATATTTTATATTTTTATACATCCTACCATTTGAGGCTCTTGTTAATTTGAACAGAATGCATGGCACGCTAATTATTATGTTTATTTTATAGCACGGAAACATTCTTTAACCATTATGCCAGTAATTGGTCAATTATTGCTTGTTCTATATACGAGATTGATATTCTTATAATAATTTAAAGAATTATCATCTTGGAAATTCATTTACTGGCAATCGTGACTAGTTGAAACTTTTTGTCCAAAAAAGGCACTTTCGTTGAAAGGTCTTTTACAAACAGCTTCGACGGCCGTTAAAATATTCATGGACAAAAGATTCTCTTTAATGTGACTCTATAAACTAAGTGAATAGTCTGTGAATATTTAGTTAGAGCCGTTAGCTGAATATTGAGAATCCTCTCATTATCTATTTACTGTCAGCGCACGAGCTCCAATCCCATTAAATGAATTGAAGATTAATAAAATTCACATTTTTTCCTTGATTTCCTCGGCTTAAGGATTACCTTAATCTGATATATTATTGCGTGCTTCATTCTAGCGCATAAATTATAGAAAGTTACATAGTAGCTTGCGTGCATCTGGCATGACAGCGTCGAAAAGTTCAAAATCTTTTCGAAAACGAAAAATTCCATAACAATTTGAAGTGAATACTTTACTATTAGTTATTCCAAATAATTACATCATTAATTATTGTGAAGGCTGACCCTGAGTTTTGATGGTCGGTGAGGACCGTCAGAGTCGAGGTTGGAGTATATGGAGAGGCGGGTGGCGGTGGTGGCTGCGTGGCGGTGGTGGCGGGACGAGCAGAGGCTGCGTGTGCCGTGCAGTCCGTCCAGGCGGATGGGGGAGCAACATGACCGAGACAAGAAGATCGCCTGGTGCAGGATATATAAGAAATTTTCACTTTATTTGTCAGTTTGTCGATATTTATGAAGTAAAATTGATGGTCCATGTAGACTAAACACTCCAAATTTAATAGTTATTGAGACACATGATTCAACAACTCATGAACCGCTATCGACGAGATTATATATATGAGTGAAATAATATGTACAAATCACATTTACATATGCCTTAATTAAAAAATTTGTAAACGATTTTGAATTAGACGATATTCAATGAGCACGATGAAAATATTCATAATAGTGAATGTGGCTAAAAAATATTTCACAAATACAAAATACAGACAGGAATTATACAGAACGCGAAAATAATTTTTACATTTCACAGCATTATTGCCAAAGACGTTTAATTTAAGGATCGACAATCGTTACGATTAAAGAGCTCATTGTTATCGCCGCTCCCGAATTCCAAGAGAATCCAGGCATGTAAACAAATTCTTTTACCGAGATCACGCTGGAAAATAAACGTAATTACCGGCCCAAATGCTTCGGCATAATTACAGCCTTAATTATAACCACTCGTATGTTCCTGAATTTAGTGTGCATCGTGAATTCATTGAGCTCGATCATATAGCTGTAAATATTGACAGACGTTAATGCTCGATCCGCGCACCAGACGATATATCTGCCGAAAATGGAGACCTGGCGCAACGCGGGTGCAAATTTATAAATGTTTTTCCTGTCATCTTTGCCTAAAATTTGGACAGCTTCTAAAACGCAGGAGGACGTGACACGCTGAAAGCCTCCCATTTTCTTCAAACAAAAGCAGAAGATGAGATAGTGAGAGCAGGCCGCCACCCGAGGCTAGCGAGTTATGATGAAGGGTAGATGTAAAGCCCGAAATCTGAATAGATGACTAGAGCAAAAAATTTTCAGATTAACTATTCCTCTATTTGAGAAAGAGAGAATTTATTTATGATTAATAAAAGATTTTTTATCTTCCTAAGTAACCTTTAGTGGATTATTAATGATTTACTCAATTTCGAGTTTTTAACTTTGAAAAAAATATATCAACAATATGAGCTATATGGACTATAACTATCAAACAATATGAGAGATAATTGTGAAAAGTAATTGATACTTATATGGTGCTTTACAGCCTTTTCTTGCCTTAATTCAGCCAACAGGAAATTCTCTCTCTCCCTCAGGTCTGAATTGATCCAAGCTCACAAAGGAATGTCACCTGAAAGAACCCTGGCCTATAACAAAAGATAACGGCATCGACAAACTTTCTTATCAGCGAGCATGGCCTCGTCAATAACTGGTAACTCTGTGGCAGTTATATTTCTTAACTAGGAACTTTTTTTCATTTCGCTGTGTTTTTTTTTCAGGTTATATTTCAACGTAGTTTGTGGAATGAGCGCGCGACTGAGCGTACGACACTCACAGTGGCATTGGAATGTTTGTAGCAGCCCAGCAAACAATGCCACTGTGAGTGGCAGCCCAGCAAACAGTGCCACTGTGAGTGGCAGCCCAGCAAACAGTGCCACTGTGAGTGGCAGCCCAGCAAACTGTGCCACTGTGAGTTTCAGCCCAGCAAACAGTGCCTCTGTGAGTGGCAGCCCAGCTCCAATGCCATTGTGAGTGGCAGCCCAGCAAACAGTGCCACTGTGAGTGGCAGCCCAGCTCCAATGCCACTGTGAGTGGCAGCCCAGCAAACAATGCCACTGTGAGTGGCAGCCCAGCAAACAATGCCACTGTGAGTGGCAGCCCAGCTCTCATGCCACTGTGAGTGGCAGCCCAGCTCTCATGCCACTGTGAGTGGCAGCCCAGCAAACAGTGCCACTGTGAGTGGCAGCCCAGCAAACAGTGCCACTGTGAGTGGCAGCCCAGCAAACAGTACCACTGTGAGTGGCAGCCCAGAACACAGTAGCAGCCCAGCTCCCAGTATGGTTTGTCGCTAGGATATCTTCGACGGTGTTTAAGGAAGTTAAGAGTGAATTTTAGTTTAAGCAACCTTTTGATGAAACAAGGCTGTGGCAAAACATCCTCACAGCAACTAACGTTTACATTATTTTGTATCATTCACATCAATATAGAAAAAGTTAGACATCCGTACGTTAGTATGTCAATGTATTATAATTTATTGTTCCCAAGCTGCTGAAATAACCAACATTTTGTTTTGGTAACTACGAGAAAATACGAGCTATATTTCTTGCTTGACTATAACAATTATTTTGCAACGCCAAAATCGTTTAACCTTTGAGCAAATTTTTGCTACAAATAATTTCATCAATTATTATCTACGAAACAAGTAATTCCTCGGAAATCGTTAAGCCTTTTATGTTTTTCCATAAAATGAGATAGAGGCATTCACTAACAATGACAAAGCGACCTAAAATGAATAGTCAAAAATTACACTAATAATAATAAAAATTTAAATATTAGAATAATTAATTATGCGGGTATTTTCAAAATAAATTATTCCAGTATTTTTTTCACAATATTTTACGCATTAATTTCGCAGTGGCCCGCATTGAAAGCACAACTTATTTCTTATCCCGTATGCTTCAGGAGTGAATGATAAATTCACAGTCAAAAACTGCTCTCCTAGCGACTGACCTGTGGACATTCGTCACGAACTCGTTTTCTACGGAAATGCCTTGGCACTTGCGATGCAATTTAAATTTCAGATTTAAACGAACAAACTCGGCGGGAAAGATTCCTCCTCCCTTCGCAGAGGAATTGTTGAGTGAAGCAAACTACCGACAAGAGGTTCTAAGGTTAACATGAGGTTCTAAGGTTAAAGAGAAATCAATCCTCGGAGAGCAATTTCTATTTGTGGGTTATGAAATTGAATGGTCTTGGCAAATAATTTGTAAGATTGGTATTCAACAAATGATTCAGAAGCTTTGACTACAAACCAAAATTACCCATCGCTAGTCGTAATCATCAAGACGCAAGAAACATGTAAGCACGCACCTCAAGCTCATTTGAATGATAAACGATGTTCGAGACCGGCACTAATTAGCTGATCAAATTGCTTCGATTTGCGGCGAAGCTTGAAAAATACTTTTTATTTTTTCATGCACAAATGTCCAGGAGCGGTGGAAGCCGATGTTTTTTTAAGTCCAGCTGCTGGACTTCAACAACTAATTGGACAAAAATCAGCGCCGTCATTAGTTAACATTAGCAGGCGCAGAGAAGTGTCGTGTTTCGAGGAAACTTTTCAGAATTGAAAATAAGTCGTGTTGATCGACCACTGTTCTAAGGTTCGGGGTTATGGGGCTGAGGCTCCAGAGAGTTGCCGTCTCTAATAGTTAAAGAATGATTATATATTCAATGATTTTTTCACGCGTCCGGTGTAGCATAACAGGAAAGCAATTTTCCTCCAATAGAGCAATTTCAATTGTATAGAATTTTGTATGTCAACGTCCTCGCTGAAATTCGTGCTCAGTGTTTTTCATGTAACCTGTCACTTACGTGCAGAATATTCAAGCACAAAATCTGCGTCGTTCATACAGAGAATGAGTAAGTTGGCCAGTAACGCAGATATCGGAAACGCATTTCAAGTCTAGTCCTACTAAAATATTACAGCAATCTCCAAGCGCACATTTCCAGCGCAGCGGCTTTCTTTGCAGAATGACTCGTCATCAGAAACTTATCCATTACCTGAATCAAGAAATACCATTGTAGACTGAACTCACAACGGAGCGTTTTAATGCTTTGCTTCATAAGAGGAAGTTCATGGATAATACTTCGAAAATTTTACTTTGAACAAAACACTTGAAACTTGTATTTGAGAGGTCGACGTCATAATGTAGCTGGAATTTTATATATTCAATTGTGTTTTAAACACCTAAAAAATTTAGAAATTTGAATTTACAGTAGAAATTTGCATAAAAACATGGGATACTACAGTAACGAAAAATATCATTCTGCAATCATGTTTAATATACTGCAAGAGAGGTCGCATTAGCCGATTGTTTGCATTCTACAGAGGACGTTCGTCGGCTGCCTTTAGGGAGAAGAATCCTATTCGGTATCGGAAAAGTTCTGACTCGATTAATCTTGCCTTATAATGAAACATGTAAAATGACAGGGAACAATGAGACACAGAGGAGTTACATGCAAATGTGGAAAACAAATCTTGGGTAATTATTTTCCGAGCGTCACAGTGAGGAATGATTGGCTCGCTCTAAACAATGCCATGCGAGTCCCACGGGCATGCACACTGCACAGTGCGCTTTTGTTATTATTTCGTAACAATAACTGGGCATTGAAAAAGAAAATAATTAAGCAGTAATGCGATTCAGTCTAGTTGCAACCCCCGATATTGGATATGTTAATGAAAAAGCCATGTATGACTTCAAGTGATTATAAGAACATCTTGAACTTGTGTTTGAAGAAGGTGAACAAGATTGCAGCACATCTTGCCCGACCTGTACTTGTTATTGAAGAAGGCGTATATGATTACAACCCACCTTGAAGCCCGCCCTGAACTTGTTATTAAAGAAGGCGTACAGGATTACAACCCACCTTAAAGCCCGCCCTGAACTTGTTATTGAAGAAGGCGTACAGGATTACAACCCACCTTGAAGCCCGCCCTGAACTTGTTATTGAAGAAGGCGTACAGGATTGGGTTGATGCAAGAATTTGAAGAGCCGAGCCACTGAGCCACAGGTACAGCGATGTGTAGCAGCCTCTGTTCTCCTTCTGTCACGTTTCCCAGCTAAAATTAAACATATTTCGTCACAATGATGAAAATTTTGTCTCATAATCAGGGAACAATGGCTGGAAGCGCCCTGGAAAAATAAGTATATTCCTAATAATTCACTTTCAAATTTCAAAATTTTTAGCCATATTTCCATCGAATTTTATTTCGAATTCCTTGTTCTAATGAACACAATGAAGTTAATTCAATTTGTGTATTGGTCATATTGTACTTTGCAATACTCAGTGATAATATTTTAATTGTATTGTTTTACTTTTAACTCTCATGTTCTCAGTCTTTCGTTGTGCTCCAATCAATGACCTCCTGCTGACATAATCATACCGATTGAACCAATATACACATTAGGTATTCATCTTTTCATCTCACTTTGACTCTAGCGAAGAGTGCGTAGAGCGGTAGCCAAGACGATGCAAAAAGCACGACCACGATGAGCAGCATCTTGATGACTTTAAGCTTCGACTGATGCACCATGATGTTGACGCGCTGAGTCTGCTCCTCGCCCGGCAGCTGTCGCCACCACACCTGGGGTTGGTTTTATACGGCAGAAACGAATTAGCCGAGTCCGTGATATACCAGATGAATCGTGATATCGAATCGAATAATTAATTTAATTAGCGTTGCCTTTTATGCTTTGAGTAGGCGATGGAAGGCGTGTAATTAATTCGACAGCAGCAATACATGATAACCTTACGGACGATGAGGGTATAGCACACCGTTTGAAAGAAATAAAAATTTAGAACAATGTCTACACTGCATCACTGAAGGGTACGTCAGAGTAGTGAATTTCATAAGATAAGCATGCGCTGAAAGTTATGTAATATGTAAAAAGCAATTGACACTAACCTTATGGAAGATGAGGATGTAGCATACCGATATGATGGTCAAGGGGAGCAAGTAGCACATGAACAAATTGGCAAACACGAAGTAGAGTTTCTCGATGTCTTTGCTGGGCCACAGATCCACACAAACCTGAGCAAAATGTGTTAACGTTTGTTGTTATTTCAGAGCTGTAACATTAATTAATTAAAGCTTTTAAATTCATTTCATTTTCATTCATGAAAGTATGGTAGATATATACTTTTTCGTATTCAAAATAAGAAAGATTAGAAAAAATTATTTATAATTGTGCAAATATTTCGGTCTCTCATTTTCATCTTGAATATTTCGTAAATGAAGAGACTTAGCGCAATTAAATCGCTAAGCAGATTTCAAGACCTAAAAACTCAAATAATTGGCCGTAGAAAGAACAATCACGTATGTTGAGCTGCATCGACCATGCAATTATAGGTAATTGGGCGCTAGTAACGAGAGCCGCTTTGAGAAAAGTGGAAAAACAAAATTCAGAGCAAGCGTCGAAACTTGCGCTTATGATCGAATGTCTTAAGACTAATAACAAAAGTTTGAAGCCTTTCTTATTTATTCTTCAGATAAGAAACTTTTTTTGAATTTTTCTTGGTGTGAATAGTAGTGGAATGACCTTGACGGATATGCGGATTGGTTTCAAATTACTAGGAACTTCGTTTATTGCGGGGAAGTGTTACAAGTAGACAGACAGTTTTACTTTTAGGAAAACTGCACTGAGAAGCCTTAGGACTACTAGCATTATAAACTCAATTCAATCATATAAAAACAGCCTGCTTTTTTCTGCTGCAAAATATGACATATTTCTGTGGGCAAAATTCTATTAAAAAAGAAGGAGGTTAGCAAAGTGCAGCTTGTCTTGCCATGCTTTCGTAAGCATTGCATACGTGACGCTCAAATTGTAGGTCATTTTATAGCATCATCACGGAAGTAACGGCCAAATCGTCCGACACTGCAAGCCTCAATTACTTCCAGAATGTAATTATTTCGTCTGCGTCTTTGTCTGGCTGGCGCGGGTTGTCTAGTCGCCTTTGATCAGAAATTTATTAATTAGGCTGATCAACAAATTATGAAGTTTTTACAAATCAGTCGTACCAAAAATTGCACCAAGCTTCAGTTTAAACAGGTAAAATTCAACTGCATTTTGTCTCTTTACTGTGATAAAGTATTAAAGTATTAATTTAACTCAAAATTCATCATCATATAGAGTCAAAGAAACAAAATTATATATCCTCAACAGGCATATTAAAGAAATCATTCTATAGACTAAAAAATTCGAAAATTCGCTCCTCAAAATTATTTACGGAGCTGATAAAGATGCATTAAAAAATTCAGCTTAATTGTGAGAGCATTGTTTGAAATTTATGTTACCTGAATTGTATGCCGTAAATCGCGCTCATTTCGAATTACAGCGGCTTGCAATATTTTCTTTTCGATATCATAGAAAGTTAGCATTAATAGTGCACAAACTTACGTCAGTAGCTCATTTAGCTTAGAACAGAGGTTAATTGAAGCATTAAATTTTATCCGCATGAATGCGTTTCACATCATTCTATTTAGGATGTAAGGCCATTTGCTGCATTTAACTATCATCTTTTATAATTTATAAAACACATTCATGCTTCGCTGAGCAAGGTCGATAGGCGTATTTAACTTCCGTTAGCCCGAAATGGTTTCATAAAATAAATATTCTCGGGAGCCTAGGCCAGTTGCAGCATTTGATCATCGACTGCACAAAATTGTTTCACTCAATATTCATATCTAGATACAATAAATGGTCAATTTCAGTACCTAATGGCAGTCTGCACGAATTTGTTCCACACAATCATGCTACTTCTCGTAACGCCCCATTGCAATATTTAACTATCATCTGCAGAATCAGAGACGGAAGAGCGGAGATGTCTCCTGAGAACTGCAATCTCGAAGGGAGCTCTCATCAGCATCCGTGCCTCTGAATAATGCGTCGGATTATCTACTTTGCAGTGCAATCTCAGATCAGCGGATGCGCTACAGGATGTTTATTTCCGGACATTGACCATGGATTAGCTAGGCAAGTCGGTGCACAAATGAATCTGCTACTTGAAAATTGCCGAGTGTTTAAACATATAGAGTGTTCAATAGTGTTATTTACTTGAAATTTTAATAGGATCAGAAGTGACCTAATTTCATGGCGTAGGATTTAAGGAAAATGATGGGTAAAGAATTCGAAGAAATACTTAGTTTTAGCTAAAGTTACGCAGTAATATTTTCAAATTCTGTTTAAAAAAACGGAAGCGCGCAATTACTAATTACTGCGTAACTTTAACATTTTGTGAGTAAAATTCTTCCTGTAAAATGTAAGTTATGCAATTTCAACTAATTTCTTTCGTAAGCTTGACTGCATTCACGAACAATTGTGACTTGACTCCTTCAGAAATGGAGAATATTTCTATGTGTAATTTCAACTTTCATATGTAAATTCTTCCTAAAATTAAAGATCCGCGAGTTTTGTTATAGTCTCACCAACTCGGATATCTTACACAAGTCAGTTATTGCAAAACTTATTTAGACTTTGGAGAAATTCTTGAATGCAATTTGGCGAAGGTGCGTATTTTTAGGAAAGTGCCTCGGCCTAATGGTGGCAATTGCGCTTTGCTTCATCAAATCGAGCGAGTAGAGTAAATCGCACATGCGCGCTGCCTCCCTCGAGCCTTCATGGCGAGATGAAAAGATTCATGTATGATATGTTAAATTCATCAGCTTCTCCTGATTCTAGCTATGAATAAGTCTAATTTTTTATTCCGTACTTTCTTCGATTGCTGCTCTGATAAGGATTCATCCGAATCCTGCTCCAAAAATATTTTATTTCAGCATCACATTTTTAGATTTTGGAACTAAATTACATCAATACCTTTGAATATAATTGATTTTATCTAAATTTTACCTTCTAAATACTTTTTCAATGTGATTTAGAACATTAAATTTTATTCAACAATTTCTAAAATCAAAACTTTCGATAATAAAAAAAATTACAATGATTGGAAACGTTAATAATTATACTCTCTTCGTGAATATAGTATTTATTTTTTTGGCCTTTTATTATTATGATTACGTCGGAAAATTTTATTTCTCGACGATTTAAATTCCTGCAACGCTAGCCAAGCTGAGCATCAGTCAGTTGTATGATCAGCGTAGCGTCAACCTTCAGTTCGAGGGGAGCGACGAGCGAGGGCATATTTCCCTCTATAATTTTAGATGCGCTGCTTAACGGACCGAGTAATTCTACATGCCGGCACTGAAACTGATGCATTCAATCTTCACTATATGTGTGAGACATCCTCGTTGCCAAACACGAATTGTGCATGCAAGGCCTGCAGGCTAATGGAAATTTATGTATAATTATCAGAAGTTGAAAATGAAATACTTAAATTTTGAACGGTGACTTCTTACATACATAAATGATTTCCAGTTTTTAAACTATTATATTTTTTTAACTCAATTACAAAAGATTGCACACCGATTGAACTTGGAAAATTATATTCCACTACAAGTTTTTCTTCTTCCATAAGAATGTAAATAGATTTTATCGTTATTAAATAGCTTTTATCCTTCCATTTATTATTAATATCACCTGAGCATCTGAGTTGCCGATGTTATCGAGCTTGAAGAAGATGGCCCAGGGCAGCGTGATGACTAAGCTAAACGTCCAGATGACGAGGATGATGCCACGACACGTCCTCGACGTGAACTGACATCTCATGGGGCTGCAGATGGCCAGAGCTCTGTCCACTGAGATGGCCACTAACGTGTTGATGGATGCGGACACACTCACCCCTTGCAGGTATGCCACCGCCTTGCACGAGAACAGCCCCAGCACCCACGCTAGAAAGAGAAATTTGTTCAATTAGAAATAAATACAAAAATAGTTTCTAGATCCATACTGTGCTAAGTTCTTCTGAGGTTTATGTGATTTTGCAGAAGTTAGCCCTGGTAATCCTGGTATCGTGGTTGCATTGGCTCATCTGTAGATAAGATGCAGGCGTAATTAATTTGAATTGCTTGTATAATAAAGGCATCTATGTTATCATAACTTTTCCCACAGCTCGGGCAATCAACTAAGTAATGATTTGTTCCGTGCAGCTCTGAGTTAACTTGTTATTTGGGATAACGTGCCGCTCTGAGTTAACTTGCAACTAAGGTTAACCTACAATATACATACAGCATCCCCAGCAACGCGTGCTAGCCTGCTGGTAGAGAAATATTTTGAGATCCTCTCTTCAAGTCCTGGAATGGCATGAAAGTTTAAAAATCAAAGAGGAATTGTGAGAACGTCCAGTCAATGATCATTAATCTTAAGGAATGGTACGAAGGGCGCGTCAATGAGCTTTTATCGTGGGCAAATATTGACATATAAATGTTACTCCGATATAGCAAGAAAATCAAGTTGAATTTCCTTCAGAAAGTAGAAGTTAGATATTACCTCGTCAAACATTGACCAAACAACAGGTAGGTAAATGTTCTTAAGCCTCCTACCTAAGCCACATTATATCGTTCACTGAAAAATTACTATTTTGGCATACAATACGATGTTTTAGATTAAATTTAATTTAATTGTAATTTAATTTAAATTTTACGAATTTTCAAGAGTTCTAACGCATGCGGCCACAGAACTTCAAAGAAGCTGAAATTCAGTTAACTCGTTTAATAGATAAATTCTTGCGACACGTAAGATTAAATTAAAAGCTGACAGGCCAGCTGGATTGAAATGAACGCTTAAATGCGCTTAAAAAACGCTTAAACTTAAATATGGGTCATGATGTATAACAACAAATTATTCTTATCTAATAATACATGAATAATTTTACCCCCCCCAGGCAGACCAATGATTGTTCCTGTACATTCCGTGAAGTTTCCTGGCCATGAAGTAGCAACGTTCATGAGAGTCGTTGCAGCGTCGCTGGGAGTAAATAAAGGAGTCTATCTTAGTGGGCAATTTGATATTGCAATCCGCAGTCTCGGCTGCGTTGCACGTTCGGTCGTCTTGCCGAGACTGAATAAACAACGAGCAATTACATCGACTTGGCGGTATCTGTGTGCGAAGCGGGTTAATTGCTTCCATATATGAACGGATCGCAAGGTCTTGGGTAAAGTGATTTTGTACCGCTTGCAACATGTATGCATCTAGACAAGTAGAATACAGGCAAACAAATAAGGATGAATTTTCGCGGTCCGAGGATATTACTAGAACGAACTTCAAAAGTTAAATTTTGAAACTGAATAAAATTGACACGATTGATGCACAAAATGGAAAAAGTTTTGAAGAAAAATTTTTGATAAATTTATTTGACTCAACTCGGCTGTATAACAATTCTATTTGCAATGATAAACCGAGATCATATATGAATCGAAAAAAGCACCATTGAAGAACGCACTCGCTTTTCTCTGACTCAATGCGTTAAATTTTTCTCTACAAATACAATCAGAGTTTTTGCCAAATTGAATCCGATAATAAAGTTGCAAAGAAAACGATACGATCGTGTCTTCGGGACCAGAGAGCATCTCCTTCGCCTACGTAGAAGCTCGGATTTTGGTCGCGCCGAAAACAATAGACGAATTCCTTGGTGCTTCACTTGCTTCAGTGCAATAAGACTGTGAAGTCGTTGACTCTTCATTTATCTCAGTGAAATATGACGATGAAATCTGTGGTACTAGGTTCATTTTAGTATAATTGGACAACGAATTCTTTGGGTATTCACTTCATTGAAATAAGAAGAATATATCTTTGATGCTTCATTTGCTTCATTGAAATTATGCATTGAAATCTTCGGTGCTTCATTAACTTTAATGAAAAATTGTCGACGGCTCCAATATTGGTTGAAGAAACACTGATCGTTATTCTGGATTATTTTTCATTTAAACTTTGGGCTTGTGTGGTTCTGGTTTCAAACAGAAGTTTAAAATGGTCTTTGTATAATTCATGAAGAAGCTTAAATTCTTTTGTTTCTTAGTAATTTGTTCATTCAGCAGTCGTGGCCTATGTCCAATATACACATTGAATGCCTATATAGAAGTCACCCTTAAATTAGTTTTTAAACTGGGAAAATAGCGTTGGATGAAACTGTAGTACCAAAAATTTCTCGACCAGAACAGCTTTCAGATAAGTGGAAGAAAAACTTTCTGTTGGCGAATTGGATCATGAATTCTACATCCCCAATCAATTGAAACCGAGTTATCTCTTTAAATTCCATTGCACAAGTCGTCAAAATGTGATTCTGAAAGTAATTCTGTGATCTGAAAATCCGTTACCGGCGACAAGCGTCGAAATTCAGTGAAAAAATGCGCCTCTGAACCCTGGATCTGGCCAATATCAGCCATTAGAGGAAAGACTGTCGAAAAATATATAGCGTTTTTCGACCAGTTGCAGAAAGAATCGGTGCACCGCGTCCGGGCGATTGCGACGAACAGCTCGAACGTGGCGATCACGAAGACGATTCGATAAAAATATGCAAGTGAAGTAAAAACACATGGGCAAAAATATTTTGAGGATTGTTATGTTTACGTTTAGTAATTGAATTGATGGAATTTTAACGAACGGAGATCGTCAATATCAGGATATTGAATTTGCAAAGAGATTTCAAGTTATTTGTATAAATTCCGATTGAATTTGGCATTTAATGAAGCCACAGTTAAAGTGACGGCGAATGGTTATATGACTGTAAAAATCTGGATTATTTGTTTCATAACTAAGGTTTGTTAAATATATGAGACCACATTGCTGCAAAAAAAGCAAAATGGTTTCTTTCAACTAAGGTTAACTCGAAAAAATTCCGATTTCGCTCCAAGGGATCGGTTGCCAGATTGCGTTGGAATCGAGTTGGAAAAATTCAATCTGATGATAGCATTCGAGAAATTGGAGCTTTCGAGAAAGTGAAATCCGTGATCGGAAGACTGCACAAAAGAAACATAGCGAGGTAATGGCCCCAAGATATTTTTTGTCTCAAGATATCTTCCTCAATATAATAGCTCTAATATTTACACAGACAACAGGGCAGCTTCATCCTAGAGATTGCTGTCTGTGGGTAGCTCAAGGCTACATGTTGAAGATTGCCAAAATTTTATGAGACGACGATGCACCCATACGCCTGGTCCATTTAAACCCGTTCTCTATGGATAGCCTGAGCGTCATCAATGGTTTACGTATTAAAGGTCAGGGAACGAAAATCACAGTCAATAGACAGAAAGTTCATGTCACTATAACTCGGACATCTTTGGTTACCATATCGTTAAGAAAGATACCGATTCAGAAAATTTCGAAGAAAGAAATAATTACATGAATCAGGATATGATAATTTGAAGTCCTTATACTTTAAATCGTTGAATAGAGGCAAGTTTGCACTTCTTTCTCAAAATCTATGTATGTTTGAAGTTTATTCTAAAATAGTATAATGTATTTCTACTGTTTAGACTGATTTTCGTGATTATTTTACGAGTCATATTATTAGAGACATATATGTGAAATGATAGCTTAGAGTGGCATATTTGCGTAGCGTGGAAGTTATAGCTCAAAGCGGCCGTTCAACTAAGCAGGATATCTCAAGTATGTCTGCACAGCACGAAAGTTCTACTAGCGTAGCAGGTTGGCTACATGAGACCAGTTAACTTAACATGGTAATTTAGCTTAAAATGACAGGTCTGCTCATAGAGGCAGGTTAGTTCAATAAGGTTGGTCTGGTCAGGATCACGTGCAGCATGCAGGTTAGAGATCGAAGCGTTTTGCACCTTAAAATATATTATAGATTATCCTCTAAGTGCAATAAGTTGCGAGTAAAAGATAACATATAGTTTCCTTGGAAGGCTCAGTTCAACAGTACAAATAAAGCTTGTCAGTATTAAACAAAATATATTCGTGACCACTACGGCGACTGCAAATGAAAAAAGTCTAGTGAAGGTGGAAGTACTTGAATAATTTTCAGTAGTTTAAATTAATTAAACAGGCAAAATTTTTCTGTTCCTGAGAGCCGAATGGCTGAGTAATATAAAGTTATACATATATTACCAGAATCCTGATTTTACTACTTTAACGTGTCTTTGTTGAACAAAATTGTTCATTACGTCAGTATCAACACAGTGTAAAAATTAGTAAAATGCCATATAAATTAAAAAAAGTTTTGCTTTAATTACATAATAATAATTTTTTCATGTTCGGTGATATAGTTTTTTTAGATTTTGAGAAGAATGCATTTCAATTTGGCCCTTGGTTATGGGAGATCCACGGGAGGCCTGGCAGAATTATAGGCCTGGTCGTCTTCATTAAAATGTTTTATGGTCCTGCCTTCGTAATTAACTACCGAAATATTTCATGAACAGCTCTCCTAATTTCCTTCTGATCAACAAAATATTGACGAGGGAAGACTTTATAACTGGCATTATATGTTCTACAATGGTTTTAATAATATTTTCACCGCAACCGTGAATTCCTTGGATGGAAGCTACGGAAATTTTTCGGAAAGAAGAAAATAAATCTTGAATTTTCATTTACATTTTAGATAATAAATTTATAAAAATACTAAAATAGGTTATAAATTGTGGTAAAACCTAATACAAAATTTCTTAAAAATTGCAAAATTGAATCTTAGAATATTATCATGTTATAATTTGAGCTGAAATTCATTATAAACACTTGCTTGTGACCAAGTGGAATATATATCGCCTATGTCTGTGCGTTTTAAACTCATTCGCATAAGTAAGACGAACAAAATGTCTAATTCGAGTGGCAAGTTACATTGAAGACACAACTGAGAATGAGCTTTACACTCATGGAGGATTTCAATGCATGCGCAGGCAATACAGTTTGTACATCAGTTTTTTCTACTTCAATTGAA